AGAGGCCACGTGAGCATAAAGAGGTATGGCTGTCCCTAAGCCAAAACAAGAGGCCTCGCCAGGAAACAAGTTTACTGCTACCTTAATCATGGACTTCCAGCCTCTAAAACTGTGAGGAAATAAATTTCTGTTGTTTAAAACACCAGGTCTGTGACACCTTGTGACTCTTGAGCAACACAGGTTAGAGGCGCCCAACCCCAACAGTGGAAAATCCGCTGATAACCTCTAACTCAACACTCCACTCTGCCAATACCAGGACTCAATCTACCGCGGATTGAAAACAGCACATTGGACCCCCAGCTGTGAATGCGAAAATACTGTTTTCCATCCTTGGTTGAACCTACAGATGTGAAACCCGTGGGTATCAAGGGCCCACTGTATTTATTTTTTTTTAAATCTGCATATAAGTGGACCTGCACAGTTCAAACCCATGTTGTTCCACGGTTGACTGCACTTATAAAGCTTCGGAGGGTTTTAAGCCGGGGCCCATGGATAGATCTGCGTTTCAAGAAAGCCATTTTAAATGTAATCCTATGCAGTTTATGCATTTAGAAACATTATTCTGAGAAGGGCTACAAAGCTTCACCAGACTGCCAATGAGATCCAAAAACTGAGGCACAAAAAAAGATTAAGAACCAATTTGCCTCCTCTGGCGGACATAAAATAAATCTATGTGCTGTCAGGGCGACAGCCTTGCCAATGTTCTCAACCATAAATCTTACTAGGACCAAATACATTCTAGTCTATATCCTTCTGCTATATTAAAACCTGTACATCAATACAGATATAGATGAGGAAAAACATTATATAGAATTTTCTAAAATATTGAATTCTAGCAGTCGGATATGTTGAGTGTGAAGTAGCAGGGTATAACCATATGTGTGTACCATAGTATTCCATATAAGTATTACAAATTACAGTGACCATTATCATGGTAAGCTCAACAGGGCAACTAAAAATACTCTCAATAACATTTTCAAGCTGAACCGTAAGAGTTCTTCCAGTAGAGCAGAGCTGCTGAGTCTGCAATAGAAACAACTCACACAGTTACTGACAGTGCTTAGAGAAGGCTGGTGAGTCCATGCTAGTAAGTGGAATAATAACGTCCATCCACAGATATTTCTGCTGTGCTAGACACTAAGCAGTGTAAAGGAGTCAATGGTTTATAAATAGGTCTAAAGAACCTAAATGGGGGCAGCTGGTTAGCTCAATTGGTTAGAGCCCAGTGCTCATAACACCAAGGTTGCCAGTTCAATCCCGCATGGGCCACTAGAGCTGCACTCTCCACAACTAGATTAAAACAACTACTTGACTTGGAGTTGATGGGTCCTGGAAAAACACACTGTTCCCCTATTAAAAAAAAAAGAGCCTAAACATCCTATCTAGGAGAGAAAATAATAATAATAATAATAATAATAATAATAATAATAATAATAATAAAAAGCAACCTCCAGAGTTGAGACATCTCATGTAATCTTACTGCCCCAAAACACCAGTGCTTCATAAAATACAGAATTGGGAAGAACTAAGCGAACCGAGACCAAGCTTTTATGAATATATATAAGTAAAACAGCCATGAAAATAAGCTTTTGGGAGGGCTTTCCTTTGTACTGTATTTGTACACAATTATATTTATCATCCTAAATGAGGATGAACTTTATGCATAAAGTTTATTACAGCTTTTAATAGACAAAAAAATGAAAACAATCTGTCTACCAACTGAGAAACAAGCTACCGAGTACATTCTATCTGTGGGGTATTTATTTAGTGTGCTGTCATTAAAATTATGGTTTAAAAAATGTAATACCAGAGGAAGATATTTATATTATTGTATTAAGATAAAAAAAAACAAAGAAGATGCACAATTAAAGATAGAGTATAATTATAAATTATGGGGTGTGTGGGGTGTGGTGGGGAGAAATATCTCTCAGAGTTTGTTGGGGGGGTGGTAAAACATTTTTTCTTTCTTTTTTCCTCCTGTATTTTCCCTATTTTTCATAATTACTTCATTCACTCAGCAAATATTTATTATGTGCCAGGCACTGCTCTAGAAATTGGAGAAACAGCAGTGAATAAACCACAAATCCTGTCCTCACAAAACTTACATTTTAGTTGGAAGAGGCTGAAAATTAACAAGATAAATCAATTAAATGGCATATCAGATGATTAGTGCTCAGCAAAAAATAAGGCAAAGAAAGATAATAAAACTGATGCTGCATTTACTTTTAAAAAAAGATTTTATTATTGGGGAATTGGGGAAGGGGAACAGACAAGTTGCTGTCCTTTTGTTCTTCAGCCTAGTTGTGGAGGACGTCGCTTCACTGGCCCCTGTTGGTATCATTGGGCTCTTCCTGGGTGAGGCAGTCGCTCGCCAGACATTGGACGGCCACTCACGGTGGCTCATGGCAGCTCACGAAAGCTCATGCCCGCTGCCAGCCAGCCCCACTGCAGCCTACGCCATCACCAGCGACTCACAGCAGCCCAGCTCCAGGTCAAGCTGTTGTTCACCATCTTAGCTGTAAGAGGGCGCAGCGTCATTGGCCCTCATGTGGGATCTGAACAAGGGTCCTGCTGCTCAGAGCTGGTATCCCAAGCCAACTCCTAACTAACGTGCTGCGCCATTAAGCCAGCCGATGCTGCATTTACTTTTTGACTTGGAGGGGAAGATATTAGCCAGGTATAAGGGCTGAAGGCAGAATTCCGAGCTTGCACAGCGGGTGATATGCAGAAAGCGCAGGGACGTGCCAGCCCAGCAGGCGGCGCTGCAGGCCGGCCGCGAGGGCGGAGCAGGCTGGGAGGGCGGGGCGGAGGGCTCACGTGAGGGGCGGAGGGGCGGGGCGAGGCCAGAGCCAACACCCGATTTGGCTATGCACTTTATCTTCAGACAGGCGGGCGGAGCCGACAACCAAACAAACGTCTTCTGAGCGTCTGGGGGCGGGACGCGCTGAAGCAGGCTGAGTCTCCGGCCGGAGTTTCGAGACGCGTTGGTTTTTCGGTTATTGGTCGCCGCGGCCGAGCGGTCTGCGGTCGGGCTGAGACTTGGGAGCAATGGCGACCTTTGTGAGCGAGCTGGAGGCGGCTAAGAAGAACCTGAGCGAGGCCCTAGGAGACAACGTGAAGCAGTAAGTGCCGGCCAGCGCAGCCTGCGGCCTCCGCGCGGGCTCCTCAGCCCCGGGGCGCCGACCTGCCCGGGGACGCCCCCGCCGCCCGGGCCTGTGCAGCCTCGCTCTTCGCGGGCGGCGGGGCCTCTGGGCCGGGCGGGCCGCGGACTCGGCGCGCTGGAGGCCGGGCCTCCCTGCCTCCCTCCGGATTGGGACTGTGCATGGGCGGGGCGGGGAAAGCGCGCTTCCCGCCCCGGGGCCTGCTGAGCGGGTGCAGGCCCGGTGCAGGGTGCGGGGCGCGGGAGGCCCGCCACGGGAGGGCTTCCTGGAGGCGGAGGCCTGTTGCGCTCGAGTGAGGTGTAGGCGCTGCGGGTAAGAGCATGGACCGCAATATCGGGAGGCAGGCAGACCCTCCGGCAGACTAGTAGCCACCGAAGCAGTCGGGGACATTTACCGAACACCTTGTAAGCGCTCTGAATGTATTGTCTCATCTGATCCTCCCGGCGGAGGTGTGAGCTAGGTGTCATCCCCATTCGATAGATGAGAAGACAGATCGAGAGGTTCACACTCCTCTTCAAAAGTCACAGCAGGATTGGGACCCTGGCGACTGCTTGTTGGCCTTGATACCTAATAGGGGTTGCAAAGGACCCCAGAGGTGCCCAGCCAGACTTTCCCCCCAAGTTACAGCAAGGGACCGGGGACACAGTGGTGTCGGATGCGGAATGTGTAAAAATCAATCATTCAGCCAAGGCCCAAACCGAGCAATAGCGTAGACGGAACCTCTGGGATGCAAGGACAGGTTGGGAAATTTTCAAAACATTCATTGTTGTCACCATTTTATTTTTCAAAACAGAGGAAGCAGATTTCAACATGAGAATGCCTGTGTTGTCGCCGCTAAATGCTTCTGTGATATTTGATATTCTACGCATTTGCATTACTCAATAGATGCTTGCTGTCAAAGGATGTTGCTAGGGGCGAGGGACTAGGAGCGAGTTTTCTCCAGCACTTTCTTCTCATTTTTCTCTTTCTAGACTTTATTAGGACTGGACTGAAGTTACTCACCTTGAATGCCATACATTATTTTTTGCGGCTTTTCCTTCTTGTGAAATTTTGGGGTGGCAGAGGTGATAGTGCAAGGTACAAGATATGCAGAATTCCCATGGAAGACATCTTAAACACTCAGGGCCTAAATGGAGTACCTCAAAACAAGACATAGTTCTTAAAGATCATTTTAATATTATGAATGTTAGTAAATCAAACTTAACACAAACACTAGAATTAAAATCTAATCTGTTATTTCGGCATAATTTAAAAATGTTTGGTAAACATTTATTAATGCCCAAAGATAAATGTTCTAACTAAAGTTATGTTTTAATATTTATGTTGACTGTCAATCTGTTTCTTTGCTTATTTAATTAAAAGATCTTCATTATTTTAACAGGTGAAATTGATGACTTTCACTTCATTAAAAACTATATTACTTTTGTAATGCGGACCAGTAGCATTTACATTTTTAAAGCACAATAGACATTTTACTCGGTTACATCTAGGGTGCTTACAAATATTTGGAAATGAATGTTTCCATACTACAAATCTGAGGACCTGGCTTGTGAGTGTAATTGGCGCGTTAGATGCGATGGTGGCCTCTGTGGTCCCACACTCATCACACAGGCTCAGGGTCGCCAGAAATGTTGACATTAGTATTGTTCCCTGTTTTGCCTGTAGAGGCCAGCGCTGGCTCTCCGATGTTGGTCTAATACAGACTCTGAGGCTACATTTGGAGCATGTGTGGTGTGAACCTCCCACTAACGATGTGCTCAAACAGACCTTTGTGCCAGCAACAGTTAGTGGTCCAGGGTGGCTCCGGATTGGTTTTTCTGGTCTCTCATCTTTCGCCCCATCTGCTCCTTAAAAAGTGCTCCTTGGTTGAACAGTCTCTGTACTATGGCTAATACAGTCATCTCTCACATTTCCTCCGTGAGTAGTTGGACCATCTAAGGGTGGTCTTGGGTAGTCACAACCTGTCGGGTGTATGAAGAACACAGGTGTGAGTTGTTTTCTGCTTGCCAGGTGGTCCCAATGTCCTTTCTATCAGGTTGTGTGCCCACTTCAGCTGCTACGGAGACATGGGCTCTGCTAGCTAACTCGTTGTGTGCATGCCCAGTGGCGTCTCATGTTCAAACAGGTGCTGAATGTTTTGGATGACTTGGTCGTATGTTACTCAGTTTTCTCCAGGTGTCTCCATCCTTCCCAGTCTGACCCACTTAGGCTCATCACCCTCAGTGCTTTTTGGTATTGTTGGGGAAAACAGCCCCGTGCCCACGGGTGTACAGTGGGTTAACACGGGGACCAGGATGCAGGAACCAGCCTTCCAATTCTTGGCGGCCAGTGCTGGCTGCTTGATGAGCGAAGTTTGCCATTGGAGGAGGTCGATAGCATTTTGTTGGCCCAGTTTCCTGGTAGAGCCTTAGCTCTACAACAAGTTCACATGCTCCCGATCTGCATATATTGGCACCTTTCTTGTAAAGTAGTGACACAGGGCTTTGAAATAATGAAGTTTCTCTCGTGTTATTGCCCTCTTTCGTTGGATAGAATGGTTTGGGAAAAATACTTTTGTTTTTCTGTGAAGCTTTATTTCATTTCATAATTGTTCCTGTCCTTAAAAAAAAAAGGCATCTGAGTGTCCACCGTTGGGAAGTTATTATCAATAATGAGTATGTGAAAGTGATGCCAAGCTCTAGAACTGAACGTTTTGCTGTTGCGTGAAATGGGTCTTGGGCAACTTTAAGTCTCCATTAAAGCTATGGGTTTTCTCCTGGAGAAAAAAAATGCACATGAACCCAAAGCTGTGCCTGCAATTGCGTGAACCACAGCCAGTTACATACAGAGATACTAAGATACCTCAAAGCTGACCTGTGAACAGAAGCCCTACTGTGGGTCTGATAAGGCAGTGAGGGCATTAAACCATCACACTAAGAAATCTTTGCTTTTCTTCTGTTAGGAACTCACACGAGCATTGGAAATAGACAAGTGTGAACTGAAAGTGACTGTAAGACATGGACTGAGTAATTTTTAATCCATTTTATGGACCAAAAAAAACAACTTCCTTAAGCCCTGAAACAGGGATGTGGATATGAAAAATTCTGTATTTTACTCCTGTGTCTAATACTATTAGGGGAGAAAAGATCGAATCTTTGCTTTTCCTACGTGTTAACTAGTAATGTTTAAGCCTGGTGGTTAGTTTTCACTCTAAAACCCACTAAGTTTCTCATATCGACGGGTATTTTCTTAGTGGTGAGGTGTTTTAGAAACCTGTTACTTCAGCCAGTTGGATTAAAACTTGAGTCCCTTTGAAAGGAAAGAAGGTACCCAGAATCAGTACTGATGACCCCTCCCCAACCCATAAAACACATACACATTTTAAAATGTAAATTCTTTTTTTTTTAAATTGAAATATAACTGCCAGATAACATGATGTTAGTTTCAGGTGTACAACATAATGATTTGATATTTTGTATAGATTGCAAAGTGATCACCACAATAAGCCAAGTGGCCGCGTGTCACCATACATAGTTAAAACGTTTTTTGTTTTTTTTTTATGATGAGAACTTTTCGATCTCTCAGCAACTCTCAAATATGCAACACAGTATTATTAACTGTAGTTAATCCTAAATTAACTGGAGAGTAGGTCGTTTAGGCAGGTGAGAGTGAGGAAGGATAGGTCCTTCCAGCGGTGGCTTTGGCTAATTGACTCCTGAGCCCGCCTCTGTGACCTGTCATCCCCTTTCCGGAAGGCCTTTCCTTCCTTCCTCTCTGATTCTGATTCCCAGGCGTGCCCTGTGCCAGGGCTTCCAGTAACAAAAGCCCGCAGGAGAGCGGCTTGAACGACAGACATCTCTGGAGGCTGCAAGTCTGACATCAGCATGTCAGCAGGGTGGGTTTCTTCTGAGGCTTCTCCCCGTGGCTTTTGGACGGCCGCTGTCTGGCTTCTCTCTCTCTCTCTTGCTCTGTCTGTCCTGTTTCATCTTACAAGGACACCAGTCACACTGGATTAGGGTCCTCCCTGACAGTTCCATTTTAACGGATTATCTCTTTACAGGCCGTGTCTCCAAATCCAGCCCCATTCTGAGGTATCAGAGGGGACTCGGCCCCTCACAGTAGAGGGAGCAGTGTCCTTCCCTGGGCTTGGGAGCAGGTGAGGTGAACCTGGGGAAGAAGCGAAACCTGTGGTTCTCAGTACTGTTTCTGCCTCTGCAGATACTGGGCCAACTTAAAGCTGTGGTTCAAGCAGAAGATCAGCAAAGAAGAGTTTGACCTTGAAGCTCATAGACTTCTCACGCAGGACAATGGTAAAAGGATCCCCTGGGCGTTATCTTCCTATTCCGAAGCTTTACCAGATTTACAACAACTTACAGCCTTTTCACTTAGAAAAGTACAAGTTTGGTTTTAGTGGTGTGCGAAGGTACTTTAATAATGTGGAAATTTACAATGACATGTAAAGAATGGCAGAGTAGGGGATAGCCAGAATCCTTAAAAGCTGGACTTGATAAAATAGTGGTTTCTTTATGTCATAAGTGTGTTGTACTTGACTTGTGTCACTCTTCCCTTTTTCAGTCCATTCTCACAACGATTTCCTCCTGGCTATTCTCACGCGGTGTCAGATTTTGGTGTCTACACCAGGTAAGGGAGTGGAAATACTCGCAGGGACGTCGACACCTCTGCTGTTTGCAAGTGAAATGTTCTGCAAACGCCTCGAGGGGAGATGTTGTTATGTGGGCGCAGGTCCCTTTATAGAACCTTGTCAAAGCAGGGGACCTCCCCGGACTGACCTTGATGTTCGGCCTTGATTCCCCGCTCAGCGGGACTTTAGATACTGAAGTCCTGAGCAGTGAGGAAGGGCTGGGCCGCCACGGTGAAGAGGCTGCACAGCGAGCAGCTGGTGTTAGGAGAGGCTTTCGCTGGATGGAGGGAAGGTGAATCACAGGGAGGGGACGCCATTAGCTCCAGGTAGGTTGGGTGGAGCGTCTGCGTGTGTGCGTGGCAGATGATCGGTGGAGAACACGAGGTGATGGAGGGGAGAAACTCAGTCTGTCCCATCGACCTAAATAGCTATAGCTAGAAACACCCTCCCCTGGGCCCCTAATTTTTTGGAGCTTACGGGGTACAAGTCACCTCTTTCAAGGATCTTATTAATTCATTAGTCAAAAACAAATGATTAAACACATTAAAAATTTGCCCCATGATAAACTTTATCCTGGGCTCTAGTTAAAACTTGGGTTCATGTGTACCTCCTGCTGTAGATTAAGTTGAATGTGGTTTGGTTTTAAAGGGCCATGGTGATCGTTTATTAAAAGCCCATGTTTATCTAGAAATGGCTAGTATTTTGTATCATCCCTCTCCGCTAACCTCGATTGTGAGAGACAGAGTTCAGGTAAGATCTCCTGAAGCCCAGTAAGTCCCCTTGGGTGTGGAGAGTCCTAAGCAGAGAGCATGTGTTTGTGGGGAGGGGCCTCAGAGGGTAGGCTGCTTCCCCACCGGGTCAGATTTCTCCTGCTCTGTTGAATTTAAATAGAAGTGGACTTTAGCCAGTTGGATCATAAAGGTAACCCACTTCATTGTATAAAATTTAATGTGATCAGAAAAACCAACATTGGGAGGATCAGATCGTCCTTTTTAGGTAGGCGTCTTCTGAAGTGCCACACACCCAGAAGACAAGTGGGGTGATGGGAAGTAAAAACCCAGGTTGATGGGAGTCCAGAGACCCGGGTTCAAGTTTAGCTTAGATAAAGGAGTTAATTACTGGGTGTTCTCAACGTTCACATTTATAAAATACAGACAGTAACATCTACCCTACAGGGTTATAAAAAAGCAGACGAAAGAACAAGTGAAAAAGTACTTTTAAAAATAAAAAAATGCCAAACAAATAAGGAAACAAATTAGGAAGTGTAGCTGGCTGGTTTTAATTAAATAAAGCCTTTGATATTCTTGAATGCTTGTTATTGGTTATTTTTAAATCAATGAAGAAAAATTTGGAATCTGACAAATAATCTGAAAAATTATTTCTGCATCACACGCCCAACATATATTTTCTCAAAATGAAATTAATATTTGCTGGCAACAAAGAGATGATTTCTATTAATAGTAAAATATAGATAGCTCTTTGTACTTCTAATCCTTGTGGGTGGGTTTTTTTATTTTTCTAAGCGAGGCAGGAGAGAGGATTTTAATAATATTATATATTGAGTGGCTACGATGCCCTGGACACTTTGTGTGTGTCATCGTTATTCCTTACAACAACTCTTGGGGGAAGGTGTTAGCCTCTTTTTATAGATTAGGAAACAAACTTCAGAGAAAACAAAACTGAAAAAAATAAACACCTGAGGCCCTGTCCAACCAGCCAGGGGGAGTATTGGCCCCACAGCGGAACCCAACTGCTGTCGTAAAGCCCTCCCTGTCGTCACCCTCTCACAGTTGGTCCCCACCACACTTTGCTCCCACACTCAAAGTGTTTGGCCACAGGACAGCAACGCCACCTAAGGTCCAGCTATCAGGAGTGTATGTCTTTGGAGAATCCTCTAAGATTGGCCTACCCTACCAAGTAAGGTCTGGGTGTGCCAAAGACTTAATGTGCTGGAGAAAAGGAACTTGACTTCCAGACAGTTCTTCTTTTAACTGAAGAATTTGGAGTCTTTTTTTTTCCCCCCAAAGCTTTAAAAACCCATCCTTCCAAAAACGTCACAATGGAAATAATGTTTTGCTAGGATGATGAGTGATTTTTTTTTTGTTTTCTTTCTTTAAAAAATTTTTGGGGGTATGTTTTTCAAGTGAACAGTAATGAGCTTGTATTACTTTGATTTTTTTTTTGTTAACACTGAGTGTTCATGGTTAAAAAGATACTTTGATTTTTTTTTTTGTTAACACTGAGTGTTCGTGGTTAAAAACAGAATAGTACAGAAGGTCTTATAATGAAATATTCTTCCCACTCCGAACCCTGTTCTCAAAGACAGCTACATTTGTTTTTTATTTGTGTGTTGGGCCCTCAATAGCTCCACATACATGCTTAAATTTCTAGATTGACTGATTTTAGACATCTGTCGTTGTCTTATGGCTCCGTGTTCCATAAAATTTCCTCCACTCTTATCTTTCATCCATTCTGTCAAATTCTGCAATTCCTGTAGAATCTTCTTTTTGTTTTATGGACATGTCCTCTCGAACTTCTCTAAGAATACCAATCAGAAGTGATTTGCATCCTTTGTGTCAGCCGGATGCTTTTTCTCTAGGTCTATTTTTTGTTTGCTTAGCTTGGTCTTTTGTGGTACAGATTATCGTTAAACGTCTGGTGTTTCATATTTAAGAAGGAAGCATACACCGCCGGGAGATCCTGCTTTAGAATGAGCTGACAGGAGGCCAGCTGTTCAACTGGGGTTGCTATCGGCGCCATCATCCAGACCAAGCCCCATAGTAAACCCCAGAAAAGTTGTTCCGGTTAACTAGAGAGGACCCTCCATTCTCCCCGCACCTGTGATGAATACCTCGTGTGGATGGGCGTGAGCAGGGCTGGCCTCTTGGGCTGGTGAACTGCCCAAGATCTCAGACAGCCCCACATGTGGGTCAGTGTTCCACTACTGCTGTCTGAACGGGGGACCCTGCATTTTTGTCCTGTGCCGAGCCCAGCCTGGGGTGAGGGCAGGGGTTTGTGTGGTTGACCTTCCACTGATCTTGTTTTTAGCTCTACTGAGCCCTATGGGTACCCACTGCGCTCACCTGCTCCAAAGCCAGATTCTTTCGGAGTTCTCGCAGGCAGGTTTCCTCTCCCACCTCAGCTACCAGCCTGTTACTTGGCTCGTTAGCCCAGGTTACAGCCAACCCACGTCTGCTTCGTAGGTCAGAACCTTTTCAGGCCATCCTTGAAATCTGTGGCGATCCCATCTTGTCTGCCACTCATTTTCCTTGTAATCTCTGTCGTGCGTGTATGCCCCTTACTTTCCCCCTGTTGTCGTTGTTAGTGGGGTCTTAAAAGAGAGAGGAGTGAGGACACGTGCTCAGTTTGCCGTCGTGAACTAGGAAATCCTGTCCCTACTTTGATAATATGGCTGCTACTGATAAGCAAACAAAACACCGAGGAAACATCAACTAAGAAAATGAAAAGCAAATTTGTCTTTGGTTTTGGTTACAGGCAGAAAAAAAGGTGATTTGAGAGAACTTAGGATTTTGTTTGGCAAGTTTAGAGAAGTAGTAGAAAGAGCAGTTCTGGATTTAAGTGTTTATTATTTATTTTCATTACTTGAGCGTTCTGTACTTTTTTAGCCCCAAATAGAAACAGGCTTAGCAGTTATCAGTTGCCATCATTGTCTCTTATGGTTGTTTTTCTGTCTCCTAGAGGGTGCTGGATCTTTGCCTTGGACCGGGGGGTCTGCAGCCAAACCTGGAAAACCAAAGGGAAAGAAAAAGCTTTCTTCCGTTCGTCAGAAGTTTGATGTAGGTAGTTCTTCGATAGAGCTTGGTAATGACTGATTTAAGTACTGGCGTGATAAACCGGCTTAAGTTTTTAAATGAGTATTAAAATATTGGTAGTAGAGTTGGAAAAAAAAAAGGGGGGGAGCATCATTTGGGGAGAAAAGGTATTGCCATTTGTGAAGTTGGTGAAGGTCTCAAAGATTGTCAGTTTTGAGGTGCCTGAATCTATAATTCTATTGTAGTTTGTTATTGCATAAATAGTAATATGTTATCATTAGCACCTAATGGTTTTTCAGTGATTCAGGAACTGTGCTCTAGGTCTTTCTCCTCCTAAATATTTGTCTGAATGAAGGATGTTTCTCGGATTGACTTCTGCAGGCTGCTCGCAGGGTCCTGGGTCCTGGTGGTGGCCTGCGAGGCCCCAAGCCTTCCCGGGGTCAGCAGGGAAGTCAAGAAGGCATTTGGCTGTAAAATTTGTAAACATTTGAGAGTAACTTCCCTTTTCCAGCTTATATCTAGGGAACAATGTGTCCCCAAAGCATCCCTTTTATAGATTTTGACAGGGTGTTGATAGCTTTATTGATTGACCTCAGCAAACATTTATTTCTACCTTTGCTCTGTGTTTTACGTCAATGATACTCAATCTGGAGGCTGTCAGTATCTCCAGAGAGGAACACTTGGCTTAAACAGGCGTGTTTGATATAAAATACAGTTTTATACCTGGAAAACAGAAAAACAACCAGTGTTGCTGTTAGAATACAAACTTCCGACAGGGACAAGCCATATTCACTACCAAATCTTGTATTTTGGGCCTAAGCAGAATCTCCACTGATTATGAAGAATATAAATGGGCTATCGGAGTCTCCCAGAGGGAGGTTTTATGAGTGGAAAGAGTTTGAGAAAAAACATTTTAAATAATTAGTATGACTATGTCTTGGAAAGATTCTGTGTTGAGAATTGCAAGTAGAAGAGAAGAATAGCTAAGTAGTTAACACTACACAGCATTATCTTGGAGTATTTGTTGTTAGATCTGTTATATTGGTTAGCTGGGCTTTTTAGGGCTTAATTGAAGTGTTCATTATACATGTAAATTTTTCAGAACCTGTTTACTTCAGGTTACTTTCAGAAGACATAACATGCTCCGATTTGTTTGAAAATAGTTTGATATCTTCTCCTCCCTAATTGTTACTTTTAGCACAGAGCTATCCTGTGATTACCAAGATACTAATTGATTAGAATAAACTACTATGCATACTACTGTTACTACCCTTAATTCAGGTCTTCATTATTACTATGTAATGCATGTGAATCTGTGACTATTTGTGCACAAGTTTTTGTGTTTTTTTTAACCCCTGTGGTATGGTTTTGGTGGTGTTAATTTGTGGGTTACTTTTGTTTGTATCTTATTACTCGCCATTGTCATGAATAATTTTGAAAAGTTTTTTTACTCATAGCATAGATTCCAGCCTCAAAATCCCCTCTCGGGAGCCCAGCAGTTTGTGGCAAAGGACCCCCAAGATGACGATGACTTGAAACTTTGTTCCCACACCATGATGCTCCCCACTCGGGGCCAGCTCGAAGGGAGGATGATAGTGACGGCTTACGAGCACGGGCTGGACAACGTCACCGAGGAGGCTGTGTCAGCTGTGGTCTATGCGGTGGAGGTTGGTTTGCTGGTGGCAGAAACAATTTCACCAATTGCATGTGACGAGCTTGTGTGTGTGGCTGAGAGTTGGTGCCGCGAGAAAGGAGCCAAAATGTCACTCTGATCTCAGAATTGTCATCACTGCCGTTTTTATATATATATATATATTTTTTTTAAATTATTTTTTATTATGAAATACACATTTTTTAGAATTAGTTTCAGCTTGCTGTTTTCTTTTGAGGGGAGAAACACATCCCCTTGCAAACAGTTGCCTTCACTTAATAGACGAAGCTTTCAGAAAGGTTACTTACGGTTTAACACTTTCGCTTGATCTCACATGTAATTTATCAGCAAGGGAATAGTTTTGAAGGGAAAAATGAGGTTGAGAATGCCGACGACCCGAATCGCATGTTTGTGCTGTGGCATGGCATTCCATGGGTGTTATACTTGGCGTCTGAACACTGGGGTTGTCTCGGCACACTTTCATTCATCCACTCATTTGATTCATTTAGTTATTTAACAAAACAGACATTGGGCTCGATGGTGCACAGGTACTGTCAGGTGACTTTGGGTCACCTTTCAATTCGCTGGGTCTCCGTTTCCTCACCTGTACCTCAAAGATTGTAAGTTACAAACATTAAATGAATGCTGTGTGTGGAGATTATAAATTGTGCCGTGAGTCCTGATATGAGATGATCTTATTGGTATAATTGCAACACCAGCCCTGATCCTGCTCCCAGGTTAGTAACGGGAGGCTGGGTCCAGCTCTGTCTCACAGACATCCTCCGCTCCTATGTTATTATGTGGCTCTCATAAAGGTGAAGACATGTGAGGCACCTAATTTTTTGTTTATTTCCTATACATCTGTTGTTTATGTGGCTTCTGAAAGAGCCATGTTTCTTTTCGTGCAAGGATTTCAGTAGATTTGGCAACATCACTGATAAATCCCAGATGTTGAAAATTTTTGTCCCGTTTTAAACCAAGTTTCAAGGTGGTTTGCCTCTTTTTAAAAATGTATTTATTTTTGTGCTTTTATTTGAAGGTATCTGAAAGTCATGTTAGGAGAGAGGAGCATCCTTAGAGATATAAAAACTTCTTTAATAACTTCCATGTAGAGCAAGCCCAGCTTAAAGAGAACTAAATAAAAACAGCATGTGTCCCTCTTTCCTACCCCCCCCACCCTGGTCTGGCTCTGGCTCGTTCGTGAACATTCGTTTGGTTCCAGCACGTGCCAGCCTGTCCCACGTCTCCATCCACCAAGTGCCAGGAAACATTGGGTCAGTGGAAGTTTTATGATTTGCTTTTAAAGAGAAATTCATGCTTTTTTCTTTTTTTTTTCCAGAATCACCTTAAAGATATATTGGCATCAGTTGTGTCGAGAAGGAAAGCTTATCGGTTACGCGATGGTCATTTTAAGTACGCGTTTGGTAGTAATGTGACCCCACAGCCCTACCTGAAGAACAGTGTGGTGGCTTACAACAGCTTGATAGAAAGGTACTGAAGCGTCTTGTGATTCTGCGTCTGTCCATCCTCTCGCGGGGGTTACGCCCCTTATGTCACAGACCATTGGTAAATGATTGCTTGTTGCGTTTCTGTAAGTCTAAGGTACCTTGGAGAAGAGTTTTATTTTATTGTGTTGCACCCGTTCATGATAACTAGTAGTGTTCCGGCGCTCTGTCGGAAGTGAAGGTGTAGAGTTTGGCTGCCACATGTTTAATGTGATGTCCCCATCCTGAGGACTGCTGCCCCCGGCTCCTTGGGGACAGCCCCTGCCTGCTGGTAGAAGCGGGCCTGCTCTCATCGGAAGCGTGGGCTGATTCTTGGGTCAAGTCGGGTTTCTTGGGGGAGAGAGGAGAGGTTGGTGTTTTTCCAGGCCCTCATCTGGCCCCTGTCGCTGTAGCTCAAGAGTGGCCTGAGCTGGGTGTCATCAGATTGCTCTTGTGCAGAGCCGGGACCCCTCTGTCCAAATTCCACTGAGGCTCCCGGTACCTCCCTGTTCTCCCGAGTCATCCCTCTGTGAGGTGACCTGGATTACCCATGCGTTGTCTGTGTCCTCCCCTTCTCCCGCCCACCCCCAAATTTTCTGTCCGAATTTTAAGCTGACGTAGTTTTCCTTGTGTAACTGAAGTGACTGCCTTTCTCTGGGTGCTGGACTTTGTGTATCCGCTTATTTAGGGAGAAAAGAGAGAGATGACAGGAAGACACAAGTTCGGAGAAGAAAGTTGATTGGGAAGCTGGCAGGAGTGATGGTGGTGCAGAAGTCAGGGAGGGGAGGCAGGAGGTGTGATGGTGAAGGGCAAGGGGTTAGAGTTAGAATGAGAAGTGGTGTCAGGAGGCCCCCAGCAGAGCCCAGCGCCCGCTTTCTGCCTCTGAAGACCTCCCCCGCCCCCGCCCCCACCCCGCAGGGCCCAAGGCAAAGCGCTCCACCGTAAACTGGGCTCCCTGTTTATTTACATCGCTTCTCCGTCTCGTGTAGGTGTATCTGTTTGGATTACTTGTCTCTGTCAGTTATTCTTTAGAGAAAAACAAGCCCCAAAGTGGCTGCGTGGAGTAGTGCATGCCGGCTCTGACCTGCCCGGCCTCCCTGCCCCTGCCCGCCGGGCGCTGAGAGCCTCTGCCTCAGATCTGCCGCCTTCCTTCCGGGAACAGGGCTGCCTTTGTCATTCATGGCCGAGCCCTTTGCTCCGAGTCACCTCCTCACAGATGCGTCACCTGCTGTGTGCTCTTGGCAGCCGCACAGGTTCTCCCCCGTGTTCTGATAGGAAAAGTATGCCTCGCCTCCCAGCGGATGGTGGATCTGGGCCTCTTTGGGGACATAGGCAAATCTGGACCCATTTTCTCCACCCTCCATTTTTCCTGTGGCTTGCTCTGTCTTGGGTCACCTTTTCTGGCATGTTATTTCTGACGGTTGTCCCGAGTATGCTCTGCCTTCCTCTCCAAGTCACTTATCTTCCGTTTCCTCTTCCTTCCATTGAGGTCTGTTGTTGTTTTCAACTGGAAGCTCTTTAAGGGCAGGAAGCAAGTTCGGCTCAGTGTCCTGAGCATGGTCAGCACTTAACTTTGTGGAGGGGGGAGGGGAAGTGTAGCTACTGGACATGTGGTTTCCCGCCCTGCAGAGGTGCTTCCTTTAGAAAGGAAAACGACAGACTCTCATGTATGCACTAAGAAATCCCTGGGTTTCTGCTTCATTTTCCGAGATCTCTCCTAAGATGAGCATCCGCGTTGTCTAGCCGTCCAGCTGTCGCCTTCTTCGTTGCCGGGTCTGTTTCTAAAACTCTGCTTTCAGCCCTCCAGCTTTTTCCGGCCCTTGTGCTGGTCAGAACCCGGCTTCCCGCCCGCCGCCCGATGACGCGGAGCAGCAGGCTGCGCTCCTGCTGGCCTGCTCCGGGAACACCCTCCCTGCGTCTCTGCCTCCCGTGAACATGTACGACCTTTTTGAAGCTTTGCAGGTAACTCTGGGCTCCTTAAGGTGTACCTAGATGGACGGGTGGGCCCAAAGTTTCTTCAGGTCACAGAGACACTCAGTGCTTTCCCACTTTCTGGCTGTTTAGTTCTCGGTTTCTGTGGTCTGCTATTCAAGTCACCCATCAAAGCCACATTTTTCAAATCCCGGGCCCAGGGGTCCCTCCTGATTTACCCACCTCCCCAACAAAAGAAAGAGAAGGAAAAAAAATCCCTTGTTTTCTTGTTCCTGCTTCAGGACCTTGTTCATTCCTATTTTCTTCTCAGCTGGTTTGGGATTCGCTAGGTTCTGGTTTAAAGTTTATATAGGTTTGTATGTCTTTTGTGCGCGTTTTGTTGACATAAACCGCTTCTGTGCTGGAAAAGTCAGTATCCTGCAGTGTAACTGGAGGCCTGCCCGTGTTTCCCGCCCAGGTGCACAGGGAGGCCATCCCCACGCATACCGTGTACGCGCTCAACATCGAGAGGGTCATCACGAAGCTCTGGCACCCAAACCACGAGGAGCTGCAGCAGGACCAGATCCACCGCCAGCGCCTGGCCGCCGCCGAGGGGCTTCTGCTCTGCTGAGCGAGGCTGGGGGTGCGGGGCCCTCAGCACATGCATTCATTGTCGAGAACGGAATGTTTTCTGGGTCCACACTTCAAGACTGAAGTGTACAGTGTAAATATAACCTTTCCTATGGAAATGTGACATGGAGTACCTTTTGTGTTGCTACTGTGAAGCCATTAATATAACTCTGATTTTGATAGTGGCCCATATCTGTGTGTGTATGTGTGTGTGTGTGTGTTCCCATCATAGGAGCAGAGTAGGCACTGAAGAAATTCTGTGCCCGGAGGTGTTTAGGCCCCTGAGGTTTAGCGTCCTATGGCTGCATGTAGATGGCAGGTAGATGACATCCTAGAACTGTTGTAGCTTAGTCCCTATGATCAGCAGGACATCTGTATGTGCAGTGACATCATGTATTCTGTATGTGACAAGTCTAAAATGTCTGCCTTTCTCCTGAAGAAAATATGCCCTTGCATTTTGAAGTGTTCAAAGTCAGATACATCCTTTAGTGGCCAGTTTAATTTTTAATAGCTATCGGTAGCTCCCTAAAAATTCACAACTCCATAGAAAACATGACTTAGAAATGCTGTGCTCTAAGACAAAATAAAGTTTTCTTTGCATTAAAAAACATCAAAACTCTTGGAATGTAATTAATTAACCTTATAAAACATCTTTTCATAACTCAAGTTTCTTTCATAGAGTTAATATGCCCAGAGACTTTGATTGGCAGGCTCATGTGTTCATTGTTTCAAGTCCATGTGAACATACTGCGTTTATACTTGGTAATCCCCCCATTCCTATGAAATACGTTTCTAGCCTTTTAAGTGATAAAGAGAAAATAATTTACATTTGGCAGTATTTCTAATAACCAGGTTTGTTCTTTTAGAGATATGTTGCTTTTTACTCAAGAGATAGTGTTAGTGGATATGCAGCTGACCCTTGAATAATGAGGGGATTTGGGGTGCTGACCCCAGGTGCAGTAAAAAATCCACGTCTAACTTATGACTCCCCAAAAACGTAGCTGTCCTTTGGTATCCGTGGGGGATTGGTTCCAGGAACCCCCACCCCACATCCCCATGTAACAGGGTATATGTAGAAAGGGGTATACACTCACCGTCTTGTGTCTGTGGACTCCCAACCACAGATCTTGAACAGCACAGGTATTTATTGAGAAAAATCCATGTATAAGTGGACCCACGCAGTTCAAACCCGTGTTGTTCCAGGGTCAACCGTGTTAAAACGTGGGTTTCTGTAGGTTTAATAATATATGTATAAACATGTACAAATGGATTGCTATCTGGACCCATATATTTGATTTTGGACTTTAAATATGACAAACAAACCTTTTGGGAAAAAACTGTGTTTATTAAACAGATAAGGAATGCTGCCTTCTACAGAAATATGAGAAGCCCTGCGTGATGAGACCTAGAGACGTTGCAAAAGAATGTACTAGATGAGAAAGATTAAAAAGCCAGTTCCAATTAAGGTATGTCATCTCCCTTTGTGATATGCAGATTAAGACTAAAAAGAAAAAATAAACAGCTTAGTTTTAGTTGCTGGCACCAGTCTGAAAAGCCCATTAGAGGTTCAGATGAGATAATCCTTCAGTTTTTAGTGTTTGGAAGAGTTTGAACCAATGTGTAACTGACTGTAGTGGTTCTGCTTTGGACTGTGTACGTCTTGGGCCATAATGCTACGTCTGTTAAATTTTGTGCATTCCATGATGCAGAGGCAGCCAGGGGGTTCAGCCATATCCCGCTGCCCATCTCAAGGGCAGGTTCCATCCAAGTCCAGAGAAATTCCCCACTGCCCTCTAGGACCTGACCTAAGTCCCCACAGTCACCTGCTCTGGTGGGACCACACGACACTAGAGGATTCCCTTGGCCTTGTGTTTCGGGCCCACTCTAAGGGCAGGAAGATAGAAAGAGTGGTACTTTGGAGGGTTTTCAAGAGCCCCTGGAAGAGGTTTGAACACTTCAGTTCCACCAAAGGCTGGCTCCTGCCCTGGCACCACTGCCACCTGTGCAATCCTGAGTGAAACGGGGAGTGCTTATCAAGCCTCACGTGGAAAAACCATGAGGCACAAAGCCGCTGAAACCAGGCAATTTCAGACTTAGCATAAGGCTTACTGTCCTGCAGGAGTTTCGGCAACTGTCTGTTACAGGTGTTTCCCTGCAAAGCCAGGTTCATTAAGGCTCACCCGACTTTACCTCGGGCACCTGAGCTCTGGCTCAGCACATTTCATCACCTTGACCAGCTGTCGCTAGGAGCAACCAAGCCGTTCTTCAAACACTTCTCATTGCCTGCGGTGACTGCCATGTTCCTGATGGCATTTGTTACCCTCTGAATGATCACGCTGCTTCAACTGGAGATAAATGCCTCTATGTCATCACGGCTTTGACTCCTAACCACAGGCCTCCAGGATGTCAAAGGAGGAGGATGCCAGGTTTCAGGGGGCAGACTAGAGGCCCTGGCCAACAGACAGGCTCGTTTAATTCTGACGGCTTAAAAGGAAAAAGGTCTAGATGCTTCTTGGAGAGCAGACGACTGCTTCTTGAATCTACGGGCACGGTACATTGTCAGGACTAGTCTTACTAAAAGCGCACTGTGAAAGGGCTTATAGGTTCATTGTGCTTTCATCCTGAGAGAAATGAAAACAGGATACTAACTTCTCCGTTCGTCGACGTGCTAGCATGTGTTCACTCATTTAAAATTAATATCCCTTGATGGATTTCCTTCATGTGCTTTTGGTCATGTACCATTCATGACAGCATCCAAAACATGACGGATCAAGGAACAAGGCTCTTATGCCAGGCCTCCCCCACCCCCCACGTAAAAGCCAGTTTAAAACCACACACGTCATTTTTCTTCCCTTTGTCTTCAAAGACACCATATTCCTTACACTGCCACCCCAGGAACAGATCCAAGAGGTAACATATTGGTAGAAGGGAGAACAAAGCGTAAATGATCGTGTGAAATGTGACTTCACAATACTAGAGGTAAATAATAAATAAAACCACCATAGCCGATGGCCTTTATTATCAAAGTTTATTGTTGGGGTCAGTTCCTATCTACTGGGGGTACAGCTGTGTCAGTATGTGCTATAGCCATTCTAGGGTAATAGCATTTCTGTAGAATAGTCGTACTGGGGCTCTGTCAGGCATAGATCGTAATTAAGTCAGCCCAGAAAAACCCCTGCCCGTGGAGCCATTACTCCAGGCAAGTTCCAGTGCTGTGCGACCTGTAAGGCATCTTCTATCCGCGGGTGAGACTCAGGGAGGTGTTGGTGGAATGCATCGGGAGTTGAACCCGTTTTCTACTCTTCTCTGCAAGATAAATAGGGCTCCACAGCAGGAACCCAAAAGTAGGGCTTAGAAAATCCTTTAAGCTCCCAAAAGCAAGTAAAACGACATAAAGAGGAAAGAGCCGGGAACCAGGAAAATGGAGGATAAATTAAGTGGAATTGGAGGGAATGGAAATTTCTGGAATGCCAAGTAGCTGGGTTTAGATGCCATTTGAGATGACAAAGAATACAGTACAGTTTGCAAGTGGGGAAACAATTCAGATATTGGAAGTTATTCCGATATCAGAAATGAAATGAAATGTCCTCTCTTGGAGGAAAACTGGTTTTAAAAAAATGAGAAAAGTGAATCCCTACTAGGAAAATGAGTACCTGAGTAGAAATAGGTGTTTCAAGATGCCAAGAACAGTATCGGATACAAATAAGCTGAGTCTGCAGGACGGGAAAGTGGTGGTAGCCTGTGACCGGATCTGACACTGGAATGACATTTCCAGCCGTGGCTTTGTCTGTAAGGTTCTGGCGTCTTTTCTGTAGCGCAGATAGCTCTGAAGGAATGTTTTCATAACACCCGACTTATGTGGGAATGCAAATTACAATAGTGGAAAAACTCAAAGACCTCCCAGCTATTCCTAACCGGTAGAAGGAGATTAGAAGTCTTGAAACAGCTGGGGCTAAGCCCACGCACTACCCTCATGATAAAAAAAAGTAAAGAAATGAACAAAACAAGTGTCAGGTGAGTCGATGAGCCTTGTACCGTGGTGACAGCAGGTAACGTATGCTGACTTCTGCAGGCAGCCTGAGAAACAGAAGAACATGTGTACTAAACGCTGCCCTACCATTAAATATAGTAATATGGAAAACTAGGGCCGTTAAAGGCGGCCAGGGAAAGGGCTAGCTGCCAACCAGACTGGGAAGATAGAGCAGACAGCAGTTTCTTTAACCTGTATCTTCCCCACTAACCTAGTCCATCCGTCTAGAGAAAAGCTACCTGCTGGCGCCAGGCCAGGACGTCGGAATTCTGTTCCCATTAGTACATCGTTCTTCTAAAGGAGATGTGTAAGTAGCAGGTGTACGTCAATGACACGTTTCTATGAAGCCTTCTCCGCAGCCTTGACCTGTTGGGGACAGGCTCTACTCTTGGAAGCATTATTAAAGGCAGAAGAAAATGATGACTTGAGGTTTCCTCCACAGAGAAGGGCACCGGTGGATGAGGGCTCGTATGATGAGCCCCGCATTGGTGCTGACCAAATGGCGTATATTCTCCGGGAAATACCTTTGTTCATCATATTTACAGGTTTCTTCTGATGGACACATGGAGTCATCTCTGCGAGGAATGGGGCGGAAGCAGTTGCTTTCCCAATCACGTCTCTAAAGAAATGAAGGATCCCAGACTTTTGGACACTTCAGGGCTGCGGGTCGGGGTGGGCTGTGTCCCGGAGGAGATGCACGGATGGCTGTCCGGACCCGGCTGGACCCGTCCCACGGCCTCTCCTGCTGCTCCCTGTGTGTCCACACTTCGAGGAATTGTAAGGGTTTTCCTGCCCCACTGTTTCCAACACAGTTCCATTTGCTGGAAAACAGAGAACCTGAGTGTGAGTGCACCCTGGGATTTCAGACAGCGAGTAACTGTTAACAAGCACAATGATTCCATCAGCCAGACTTCCAAAGAGACGAGAGGAGGTAGCTGAGTGCCCCCGTGTGTCCTGATCTGTTCATTTCGAGAATCCCTAGCTACGTCTGTCACTTAGGGCTGCTGCACAGACCACTGTGGCAGTCTGGACGAGCAAGAGCGCGTGGGTGACACCAAGGGACACACCTATGTTCACAGGTGCACCTAAATATCGCTCTGTTGCCTTGCCTCTTCCGGCAGTTTCCGATATAGTCCTTTGGGTAACAAATAGCTTAGAAAATTAAAAATGCACAAAAATATTATCTAATAGGGAGGAGGTGGGAAGAAAAGGTAAAATGAGAAAAGGGTAAAAACTCACTGCACACCAAAGTCTGATATCCAGTGGAGGCAGTAATATGGCTGGCAGGAAAGGGAGGCCGAATTCAGGGGGTGAAAGTGTAGGGAACATGAGGAAAAACAGCAGTTTTGGTGATTTTGAACATGACAGTAAGAACTTCTTGGCTCCGATGTAATTCTAGGGGTCCCACAATTACAGTGGGGTTCAGCGATATGAGCAGTTTGATTTAGGGGCAATTTGACGGAGACATAGGTCACTCTTCGACTTCTGCAGCATGACGTGGGTGGCAGAGGACGTCTACTCTCATTTCGTTTGGAGAAAAAAGAAAATAGGAGGGGAACACCTAATTATACTTAAAAGAAAGTGTAGTCAAGATAGGGTAGGTCCTCTGTAAAAGAAGGAATGGCCTCTTCATATTTAAACACTGTTTGGAAGGAACAAATTCACTGACAGCTAGAGAAAGGAGAATGAAAAGGTAAAATGAGTTGTTCTGTGTCTCCCCTCCACTGGTGCTACCTGGTAGTCCCCAACGCGCCCCCTCCATCGAAAGCCGTTCCCCTTCTATACTGGGCTCAACAGTCCAGGCCTATCATCCTCAGCCCTCAAACTTAGCTGACTAGTCCTAGATATGCACCCTGTTGTTTAATTATTTTTTTGGTGCAAAGATTGCATTTAAAAATAGCTTCCTTCAGGTATCTGAAATTATTATAACTTCTCATTCCATGTGAAGGTCATTATGGGAATACGGGGATGTTTTAACACACTTGAATTCCTAGGGAAAAGCAAGCACAAGCTATTTTCATTTCCCAGTGGGCTACTGCTGACCACACCGGACCGATCGGAGGCCCAGAGGACACCCTTGGCGCTCTCCCTCCGTCCCGGCCCTCCAGCCAGCAAATGCGAGCACAGTTGCTCCCAGGGGATCAGGCCCACACAATGGCCCCGAGTGGGCAGCCCGATTGATAAGGCAAAGAAAAAGCGGGCTTTTCAGACAAAACTTTTTGTTAACCCAGCATCTGGACTATGCTCCTTCAGGCCCGAGTAATTTCAGCATTACAGATCTCAGATTAAATGTCCCGGCAGCTCACTCCTTGTTCATGTTCCGTATTATGTACAAGTGCTCCTGGGTCCAGGCCACAGAGCAAAATACGAAGTGAGCCAAACAACAACAGTGCCACATGGAGGAGAAAATGCTGGTGGCCTGTTACCTACAGGACTGCAGTGTGGGCCCTGAGGGGCCTCGGAAAGACAGGGAAAGAGTGGCAAGAAACGGTACTCGTGGGACACAGACAAGTCACTCACTCAGCAAGGACACGAGTGTTTCCTCCTGGCGGCTTACCTCGGCTGTCCCTTCAGTTGCTCTCGGTGTCACACTCTTTGGGCGGCTCCCCTCCTCCGGGCAACTCACTCTCAATTTCCCACAGGACGTCGTCTTCGTCTTCCAAGTTGCTGGAGATGTGGCACTTCTTGAACCCTTGGACGATGGATTCACTCGAGATGCTATTCCAGGCGACCATGACCCACTCCAGAAAGAGGCCGAGGGGCGGTTTCTTGGCGTTGCCGGTGGGGCTCAGCGCCAGGTTCCCCGCCAGAAGCCAGTTGGAGTACTGGGCCCGCACGCTGTCATTCAGCGGCTTGTAGACCACCACATCCAGCACCTGCAGCTGCGAGGTCAGGCCCCCGGGGATGATGACCATGTCGGTGTTCATGTTCTCCATGGAGCTCCTCACCGAGCCGGTGGCGTGGCCCCGGAAGCCGTTGAGGATTAGCATGCCTCGCTGCTTGGGCGCCGCGCCCGGCCTGCGTCTCCATACCACTTCCAGCCAGTCCTGCATCAAGTCCTCGGTCATCCAACCATAGCGATGACAGCGGATTTCCATCCCGCTGGGGAACTTCCCGGGGGGGATGTACGTGCCCCTTAAAATGATGTAGGGAGGCAATTTCCTGCCATCGGCCAAGACACCGAGCATTGCTGTGATCTTCAGTTTCTCCCTGCCAGGCGTCTTCACCAAGACGGGCTTTTCACCCTGGTTGTCAACAGTCACCCTTGATGGCACCTCTAAACAAATGGGCGTCTCATCTGCATTTCCCATCTGAGCCACGTGGTAGTCATGCGCCCTGCGCAGCGCCAGGACGCTGCGCTGGTAGGTGACGAGCTTCTCCGTCAGGTCTTCGGGCAGTTGCTGGGGCACCGGCACCTTGTGCCTCAGGGACAGGTCATACCTGCGCATCATTCTCCGACACCAGCCCAAGCTGGCCTTGAACCCCTTCTCCGGAATGTTCATCTCCTGGGCAATCTCGAGGGCTTTCAGCTGCATGGCCTCCCTGGTGATCGGGTCCCCTTTGGCCTGCATGTACCGGACGTACTCCGCCACCCGCTGGTCCACCAGCGCAAAGCGCCCGTTCTTCGGGCCCCGGAAAGCCCGCCGCATGGCGTGGGCGTTCTGCAGCTGCGGTTTCACCTTGCGCCAGTCCCGCACGTTCTTCTCCAGCACTCCGAACTGTTTGGCCGCCTGGCAGTTGTTGGTGCTCTCGGCGTATTCCACCACCATCAACTTGAACCCCGCGTCGTAGCTGCGGCGCATGCCCCGGCTGAACTGGAACTTCGCGGCCAGGACGTCGGCCGCAAGCTTGTACCCCGGGAAGCCCATGGCCATGTAAAAGGGGTAGCCCTCGCTCCACTCGGGCAGCTCGGCGATGTCCTGCGGCAGGCGGAGGCCAAAGCCATCGAGGGGCTGCGGCTGGGGACATGGGGTGGCGGAGTGCATCGGGCCTGCCCAGTCTGGGGGCTTCACGTCAGGCTCCTCATTTTCTGGGAGACAAACAGGCAGGGGCAAAGGTAATGCCAGTAAGTAAAACGGTGTCTGGCTGACTCCCTGACTTTTTTGGTGGAAATGGCAAGAATACCTTAATCTGAGGTTCACTGAAGGCAATTAACTTTAGCCACAAGTACCATTTCCTAAATCCTCACCCATGTGCCAATCCCCACGGATGACCACATGTGAGTCTCACTGTCACTGAGGGTCACTGTTCTTCTTTGCAGATGACGCTACCGAAGTTAAGGGATGCATCAGGGCAGCTGAGCTAGACAGTGGCAGATGTGGGAACAGAGGTACCACGCTGGGGTCATATAGTAATTTGGGGGCTATATTTGGGCCAAAATAATTTTCATGTGGATGAGAAGCCAAATATAACCCATGTTACCATAATATCACAGAATCTGGAATGTGTCATAGGCTGAGTCGCATAGTTAAGCTTCTAAGGCAGAAAAGTGGTGGTTGCACTGGGGTTCCTTGTATGTGTTTGTATATGTGGAAGGTGGTCACAGGAACCAAAGACGACTCACAGAAATGGCCAGATCTCACCCAAACTACGATGCCATCAGTGGCAAGATGCACTGTAATTTTAAGAGGCATTCTCAACTTCAGAGATGTTAAAATGGTGGGGGCAGCATATCTCAGAATCAATGAAATATGACATTTGACATTCTCACCTAGAGAGAAAGTAAACAAGACTGTTCTGGGTGTTGGAAGCGGTCCTCATCCAACGCTACCTTCCTGGCCGTGTTTCCTGATAAAGGACCGTGTGCTACTTAGACCTGTTCACTCAAATGTGAGCTACGCTCGGTGTTGCTGTCTAGCAGGATGAAATGGCCGGTACGAACAACTCTGTTTCATCACACGTGTTTCCTTAGAGGTGTACGGGACACCACTGAGGTGGCCTCATTCACGCAGGATGTGCGCTGGAGCAAACGCCACACAAGCTTCCATTTGCTTCATCTGCACACCACAGCTGGCAGAGGAAGGCATGGAGGCACAGAGAGGCGAGAAAAGTTGCCTGAGGACACACAGTCAAGACTGGGCAGGAGCGCTCTGAACCCCAAAGCCCAGCATCTACCCTGCCTCACGCTCACACGCCCCCCAGAATGAACCTGGAAACTTAAAAGCCTGCTGCATAAAGCCCCCAGGTGACAGACGCTGCCTCGGTTTAATCGTTTACCTGCAAAGGTTCCTCCTGGGAGCTGCCATCCGTCAGAATTCTGAGGCTCCTCCTCCCCTTCCAGCTGAGAGATCATGTCCGGCTTCGGGAACGGGAATTCTGTTCACAGGAAGTAACACAGGTAACTGCTGTGCATACTGTCTCAAAGCACTTCCCAAATAAGTCCTTTAGAAAGCACACTGACCCCACCCCAGTCCTCTCAATATGGAGATTTATGGAAGATGGGGGGTGGGGTTGGGGGGGGGGGCTGGGATACTTAAAGAACAACCACGATGGAAAACAGGCCTGTCCAAGGGAATTTGTGGATCTCTGCTAACGAGGGCCAGTCCCAACAGCAAAAAAGAATGGTGTTCAGCAGGGCAGTGGGGGGTGCAGCCACCAAGCTAACGAACATTCTGACACCTGTACATGTGAACTGGGAAATCCCTCCAAACAGTGTAATTCTGATCATACGGGTATCAGTGCTGGAAGGGCAGCAAGGATTCTCCAGGCGTCTGAGGCTGACAGAGTGACAGTGAGGGCCCCCATGGTGACATTTCTTAGGTTATGACTTTTTTTGTGTTTTTGATGCGAATGCCTGGGGGGGATGAGGGTGGTCCTGAGAATGGCACAACTGCTCAGTGAAAGGTCACAATATTTATATCCCTGCCTAAGTCACACAGGGAAAATTAAGGGGACAGAGGCCAAGTTCAGGAGAGAGGGATGTCAGATACACCAGAGAGGAGAGACATGGAAGCAAGTCTCCGGGCTCAGAGCTTCCAGGAGACAGAGGAACACAAAGCTTTACCCAGGGACAGGACAGTTTCATAATTCATCCTCATGACTTCCCGGTAGAGGGCCTTTTGCTGCTCGGTCAAAACTTCCCACTCCTCATCGGAAAAATATATGGCCACCTCATCAAACAGGGCTGGCACCTGGAACAGAACAGGCGTTTCTCAACGACTAATCGGCACACGCAGACCGACGCACACCTTCATCTCCCGGGGAGGGGCCTTGGCCCGGGGAACGCTCTGTCCACCTGCACACGGACACCAGAGGCACAACGGGACACAGGCACACCCCCCCATGCCCTGAGTGCTTACCAGCCCCTCAGTTCACAGATAAGGGGAGCAGCCCCTCAAGGAAACCGCCCCCCACCCACCAATCGTCAGGTCGGGAGACCCTCGTACAGGCAGGGAGGGCTGACCACCCCTCATCTCACTCCAGAGCTGGACACCAACCACACCCGGGCCCCCACCACAACTGCCCGTGCAGCCCTGCTCTCTCGGTCACAGACCCTCAGCGGGGCTGGGTTTGGTTCGTAAGCTCGATGGGAACACTGCTCTGCCTGGACCTCCATGGTTCCCGGGCACCATTCTCCATCTGGCCCTAGTGTTGGGTTCTGAACCCAAAGTAGCCAGGAGGAGCCAGTGACAGGCCGCCCAAGAGGTCAGATGAGCAGAAGAGAAGGGCCAATGAGAGCCTGGCTGTGTGTAATGAGCTACCAGAGCAAACTCGTTTGCCTGGACCCCAGCAGGAGCCCCAGAACAAGGGCTGCCTTCCCCTGGCCCCACACATCAACCCCAGTGAAAGGGGGCACCGGCAGCTGAAAGCAACCACACTACCCCAACCAACCTCCTCTTGTTTATTCAACTATTTGCTTTTCTTTTTACTATGCTTTTTCTTTGGGTCACTAAAAATCCTACTCCAAAGGTCATGGTATTCAGTGGTAAGAAATCACTGGGCCATTTGTTTCAGGCTGGTTACGTGGTATTACTGCTTTCAAAGCTGTTCCCAAAGCTGAATCGAGGGCCTGGGTGATGGGATGGTTTTCATCAGCTTAGAAAATTCATGGTCTGTAGCCTGCAGCTTCTTCAGGAGTCCGGCCATCAGTCACTCAGACATACTGGCTTTTCCTCCTGGCTCCCGAGGTCCACTCATTCCCTCCCCACCCCCACAGCACCCTGCACGGAGGGAGCGCTTCCTTGGAAAGGCCTGGAACTGCTCCATTTATTTTCCCAGCAACACACATTTTATCAAGAAGGAAACGGGCTCAGAGAGGCCTTGTTTCTGGTCCAAAGTCACACAGTCAATACATGGCCGGCAAGGTTGAGATTTGAACCCGACACCGTCTGACTTCCAGCCTCCAGCCTTTACACACAGCAGAGTGGCCTCCTTGGTGACCAGGCCTCCACTGTCCCCACGTCTGTGCCCAGCTCTGCTCGGCCACTGCAGCTCCCGGAGCCACTGCCCGCACACAGTTCTCCCATGCCTCAGGATCTCCCCATTCCTGGACTGGCCCACCTTGCTTCCAGGACCCAGCTGAGACCTCCAGTTCCCTGGGAAGCCCGCCCAGCCCTGGGCTGTGTGCCCACCTCCAATCTCTGGTGACACTTATTATAATGCATGTTTTTTGGGTCACCTGTCTGCTGCTTCCAGCAGAATACGAGCCCGCTGAGGGCAGAGCGGGCCTCTCGCGCTCTGTTTCCCTCAGCCTAGGACACTTCCTGCAGACAGTCATCACTTAAACATAGTTTTGAATAGAAGATTTAGGCAAATACTCTCTGAATGTCCCTTCTCTCACTCCACTTGGAATAGTTTCAAATGATCATTAAATTTTATCTGTCACAAAACGAAGCCTACACTTTGGAGTAAGAGTGGCCCAAATCCCGAAGTGTGAAATGCCAGGAGGGACCGACTGACGCATCAGCCGAGAGCTTCCCACCAATCTGGAGAGCCAGTCAGCCAGGAATTTTCCACCGCACCCCCTCCCGCTTCCCAGGCTTTCAAACAACCCCCCTCTGGCCTTTTCTCTCCCTAGGAAGTTCCAGATCTAGGCCATATCTATTTATAGTCCCTTTCCCTTTGCTGATAAAGTGGGACGAAGGACTGGCTGTCTTGTCATTTCAGAGGGGTTATCGCTACTGGTAGAAGGTAGCACGCCCGGGCCTGGTAAAAATATCCGGGGCTCTGAAGTCGTGAGAAGGCGGCTGGAGGCGGGGCCTATTCGTCTCCTCGTGTCTGTGACGGACCCACAGAGGATCTTCACACAAGCCCACATTATGCTCCACAGGCACACAGGGCAGCGGCTTAGAAATCCTGCCACAGCAGCCCTCTGTGGGGGCTGAGCGAGGCTGTGGCCAGGCCCTGCCACGCAGGCCTCCCCTCTCCACAGAGGCCTTTTATCTGGCGGAGCACAACAGCAGGCAGCCAGGCCCAGCCCTGGCAAGACTCAGAGGTCAGGCCGCCCGGGGGGACTCCACCCCAGCCAGCCCTCCGCGGCCTCGCAGGTGGGGGGCTTCACCCATCCCCATCTTCCTCCTTCATCTCAGAGCATCAAGGCCTCATCGGGTAGGTGCCCTTCCTCCAGCCCAGCTCTGCCCAGCAAGCTGATCTCCAGCGGAAGTGCCCACAGCGGTCACACACTGCAGGTCTCACTGGGAAAGCTGGTCCCATGCACCGAGAGGACGCCTGCTGTATGCACGCCGGCACTGGGGACGCCTGCTGCATGCACGCCGGCACTAGGGAGGAGGCACTGCCTCTCAGAGGTTTAGATATGTTAGCTTACTGAAAGCTCTAAATAACATAGGGGGACGGGGATCACGGCCCTGCTTTCATGGGCAAGGAAACGGAGCGGCTGAGTAATGTGCCCAGTGTCACCAAGTGAGCAAGTCTGACTCCAAAGCCTGTGCTCTCTCAGGCCACTTGGGCCTCCTCCGCACGGAGGAGCTGCAGGGAGCCGGGGGCTTCCTATGTGTAGAAGAGCCAGCCGCATCCCTCAGAGCCACTAAGGAGAGAGCCAGCTCAAACTCCCGCGGAGCACACCACACCCTCCTGGCTGGCCCACTTCTCACCCCAACTCTGCTGCCGGTTCTGCCCACAGCTCTTCTCTGGGGAGAGGCCCGTGCCTTCCCGGGGTCTGGAGTGCAAGCCCCCACTGCCCTCCCCGTGGCTGCTTCCACTCACTAACGCTCGGTCCAAAATACATGTTCCCTTTTCTCTACTTGAACTTGTACTTGGACTCCAATTCTCCTATGGAACGTTATCCTAATACATTGCACGGTGCTTATGTTTGAAAGGTTTCCATTGATCACGCTAACAATTCTCTACAAAAAACACACACTGAAGAAACAGATTCTTTTCTTCCCCTAGTTTGATGCCCTCTGCAGGGCTTTCCAACCGGGCACTGCTGACATTTTGGACCAGGTAAGGCTTTGTTGTGGGGCTGTTCTGTGCACTTGACGTTCAACAGCATCCTGGGCCTCTACCCAGGACATGCCAGCAGGCTCCCCCACCTCCGACCCCCACCCCGAGGCCTGACCACCCAAGGTGTCTCCAGATGCCAACTGTCCACAGGAGGGGAGGGCGCAGAACTGTCCACTGCTCAGGACCAGGTCCACGCTTGCTTCTCCAGGAAGCCTCCTGACTGGTCCAGCCTGAATGCGACCCCCTTGAGCAGACCTCCCCAACGACACCCCAAATACTGTACTAGAAATTAAGTTTAACTCCGTCTTCCTCATGAGACCAGCACCTCCACAAGGCTGGGGACCTTGTCTCAGTACCACCCACCAAGGCCACCCACTCCAGCCCCCTCCTCCGGCTCCTCCTTTCCTGGTGGAAAATGGTCTTCACTTTGAATTGTACTTTTCTCCCTGTTCCTACACACTCGGATGCCAAAGCCCCGGTCTCCTACTGCCTTGAGATGGTGCTCTGAGCTACCATTGTCTCCTGCCCCTCCCTCCCGATCTGCAGGGATCAGAACCAGGAAGAGGAAAGGTGGGCTGAGGACAGGTGGGCAGAGAACACGGAAGAGATGGGGCAGTGCAGCCTCCATCGCTAGAAAGGCGAGCCGGAGCCTGGTGGTATGTTTTTTATTTTATAGTACCGAGGTATAACGTACACACTGCAAAACATACAACTTAAAGGGTCCAGCTCAGGAGGCTTTTTAAGAACAAATGTCAGTGTACATGGGTCTCCTAGGGGCAAAGCAGAATACCTCCCTGTCCCCCAGTTCCCTCATGTGGAACTGGGAGGGGAACTGGCCTGGATGACCTGGGAGCACCATGATTCTATGAATACACATCTCACTGGGAACAAGGAGTAGTTTGTACTCTGATAATGCTCACAAGCAAAGGAAAACTAAGCAGAGAAAAGAAATGCCAACTTGTTGCTCATTTAAAATGTTGACCACTATAACCAATCGTCACGAAGTCAAGTACCGGGAAAAATTATACCTAAGTATAACGATCTATATCTGTTGCATTGACATTTTTACAAGCTCACCCCAATCCTCTCCCACTGTTCTGTGTGGATGTGTTCCATATTCCTACCACTCCAATCCCCCCTCCAGGCCAGCGGGAAATGCAGCTCTCTTCATGCCAGCTCAGCGCCCAAGCCTTGCTTCAAGTGGTCCCCTTCAACCAGCAGCAGGTGACAAAGACGCTCTCCTTGCCCAGACTCGAGTCAGGCTCCTCTGAGCCCTCTTCCCCACGAAGCCTCCTCTGGGCTCCCGTCCTGTCCCCAGCTTGCTCAGCCCAGTTTTAGCAAGAGTCCTGCTAAGTCGGTTTCGAAAGAACCCCTCCACCCTGGATATCTGATCCCCCTGACCTGCCTTCTGCAATAATCCTGTTTAGTCACGTCAGCCAGAATCCCCCCATCCCTGCTGTCTCCTCTTAGCACTGTTCCATTCACTGACCCCTCCACTCTGCCTCCTGGCTATAAATCCCCACTTGTCCTTACTGCATTCGGTGTGGGGCCCAATCCCTGTCCCCTGCTGGGACAGTCTTGACACCTATCTCAATAGTCCTGAAGAGAGTCCTCCTTACCTTCGTAACAAGTGTCAGGTCATTTTTTTCTTTAACATTTAGTTGGTGTCGACAACGTGCCTGGCATGGAGCAGGGTGTAGGGGATCCAGGGTACAGGAGAGAGACTGGGTGGTGGCCACTCGGACTTCCCATCCTGACGGTGATAAGCTACATGGCTGACGGGGCCGCTCAGGTAACCAGCGCCTCCATTCTTCACAGCCTTTTAAAGCCACAGCACTGTTTTCTCAGGAATGCAAACGCAGGCCTGGGCTGGGCTATGTTTTACTTCCTCTGTGTGCCCAGGAGAAGGCTCACCTCAGGCCTGCTCCCACAGCTGTGTGCGGACCCCACACCTCCTCACTCACCCATCCGCCCTCTGAGATCCGGACTTTCTGCATGTCTGTGGGGCCATCCTCCAGTTCCCGGCACCGAATCTCTTCTTCCTCTTCCTCTACTTTCAGGGTCAAATTGAGAGGGCAGGCTGTGGACTCCATGTCTGCAAGCAAGATTCAGTTCAGAAAAATCAGGCGCTCGTGTGACCTCTTCAAAGCCCCAGACGGAGGCGGCTCAGCCTACACAAACCTCAGTAGCCCCAAGCAACGTCGGGGGTGGAACGAAGGGGGGGGGGGACAGCGCTGGGCCTGGGGAGGGCGGGCTTCAGGAAAAGCACCAGGAAGCTGGAAGGGGATGCATTTCACTACCATAAAGCAAGGCGAGCGGCTGCATGCAGGCAGCATTAGCTGGCTGCCTTCAAATATTTAAAAAGCTGTGGACAAGAGACCAGACTAGTTCTGTTGGCACCCAAGGGCAGAACCGGCTGGTGGGTAAACATTCCAGAAGAGTGCATCCGAAGGCAGAGCTCGCAGTCGCACCGCCAGCGCCACCCAAACATGGACTCAGCAGCAGGAGGGGGCGTTGGCTTCCTAGCAGTGGAGGTGTTTGAACACAGATAGGACACTTGCCCAACTGGGCTGTCCCCACCGGCCAGTTAAGCATCAGAAGTTTGGTGGGCTGAGAATCCCCATCCCCTGGACGTCCAGATTCAAAGGTTCTGTCCCTGAGCCGGTTCAGAAAACAGAGTCATTCTGGAGTCGGTGACACACAGTGAGGGGTAACTGCCCGGGTACCCCACAAGCTGCATTAACCTGGCGCGGCCGGCCTGGGCCCAGCCAGCCGGCACTGCCTCGCTGCCCAGCGCAAATCCCTCTTGTGCGGAGCTTGGCGGCGGGTACAAAGGGCCGCGCTCCGGCCCTCTGGGGGCGGGCAGTCCCTAGGTGCGCGGTGAGGGTGCATCCTGGGGGCCGCATCCTCCCGGGCCGCCAGAGAAAAGCTAGCTCCCGAGTTCAAAGTCGGCTTCTTCCATATTTCCAAAAAGGACGGACGAACGCGGCAGGGAGCAGTCTGGGGCGCGCGGACTAGGCTTCTGACCCACGGAGATGGGGCCCCAACTTGGCCGCGCGGCCTCTCCACCGGCTCCCGGGCAGCGGGTGGGAAATGGAGGGCGAGGTGCCCGCAGCCAGGCCTCCGCCCGCCGCCCGCGTCCCCGGGCCGCTCGGGTCTCTCCAGCCATCTTGTCCCATTTCCCTTCTCCGCGGCCCCCGCGCGGCCCGGCTCGGCCC